CTGTGTGCTGAACAGAAGAGGTGCAGGAGCTGGGCTCTCTGCCACGCGTGTGATGCTCTCTTCTGTTCTCCGCAGTTACAGGAAGGCTACGCTGACAGCTGTGCAAGCCAGCCCAGGAAGCCCTTTTAGAACATGTACATTCATTTCTTCCCATGACCAACCCCACAGTAGGGGTAACTCTCCCAAATACTCTCATGTAATGACAAGTGTGATGTCGACCTAGCAGCAAGGCCAGTGAGCTCCCATCTGTCCTTCCCACACACAGATCTGAAGTGAAATTCTGGAGGAGTTAGAAGGGCTGTCCAGCTGCCCTCTGAGCAACTGATGCAGAAGAAAAACCTGGATAGAGACTTTTCATTCATAGCTGTGCATGGCCATTTTTGGATGTACCTGTGACATTTATTCCATCTGAGCGCTGACACCACACTGTGCGTACGTTGTCTTGCCAAAGGCTGGTTTTCCACAGGTAGTCGTAACACTTCCCTCCTGCAATATCAACACCAGTTACTCTTCACCTTGTAACAGAACCAGAATAAACTCTTCAACAGGAGGAAGCAGTGCCGTGGCCACAATACCTGAGCAAGGCCGTGTTTCCATTGCTTGTCCGGAGCAGCTCTCCTGGTTCTCAGGAGACTGAACGATAAACGCCCTGGATCGGGACTGGCGACCTGTTGTCTCGAAGCTCCTGCCATTAATGCAGGTAAGCTCACAGGAGCTCCACTCCGACCACTCTGTCAGGTGGCAGTCACCTGCATGGTGAGAGAATAAATCACAGGATTTCAAAAGGAATCAGCCTTAAAGGAAAAGGATAACATAAGCATACAGCAACTGTAATAGTGAAATACCCCCAGTTTACCACCCAGTGGTATGTATTATTCAGATTTTCTGCTTCATGGGGAATCTCATTTCCTCAAAAAAGAAAACAAAACAAAAAAAGAAAAGGAAGTATTTTTCAGGTGACCTAGAAACAGCAGTCTGAGCATTTACCTGATCTACTGAAGTACAAACTCTTACTATGGTGACTGACAGTACTCAGAGCTATGGGAGCAGCTCCATCTCGGACAGCTATCACAAGCAGAAATGCACCCGGGCTGTCCGAAGGCTTTACCTGGGCAAGGCACAGAGCACGGTAACTGCAGCACACTCTCTTTCGCTGGCAGCTCACCACATAACGCCTTTTCTACTGGTTTGTAGGTAGCAGAAACAGATGCATCGTGCACTACACATGTGAGGTTGCGGACTTGCAATCCATCTCCACACTGTCCACCCTATGAAATGATAACAGAGACACAGAGTGCTGATGTTAGCAGATGACAGAAGAAATACAGTTGATTCCACCTAAAAAGACTTTAAAGAGACAAATTTGGTCCTTGAACTGCAACAGTATCCTCAGCTATGGGAAGACAGATGGAGATCTCTGTACACATCTCCACAGAAGCTCTGAGGCAGGGGCAGAGTCACAGAAAAGCATGCTGTACCCAAAGCAGGAGAAGAGGTGGGTACCACAGAAGATGAATACTGTCTTTGGGGTCAGCCCTTCATGCCCTTTACTAGAGCTAGTGAATTTAATGACTCTTATTTAGTGCCTAGTTACATGAACACAGAAATTTTTGGCTTCTCTAAAGAGGCCAAGAGCAGAGGTTGTCCATAAGGAATGGACATTTTCACTCACCTTCTTTGACAATAACAGCCCAACAAGAACACTTACATGGTTTAAACCCTGCAACAGCAAAAATCCTCCAGCCTTAAAATCCTTAACCAGACTGCAAGGGTTACTGCACACTAGGCTGTGTAATTTCTTAACAGGAGCCGCTGGTTCTGCAGTATATAGATTACCAAGTCATGGCACATCCTCTACCAAAACATCACCCAAAGTCAGCCATCGCCTGTTCATGTTGAACCCCATTTGAACAAGCAATAGGAGGCTCCATCTGGGCCACTCCACACTCATCAGCCCAGTTCTGAAATACTTGGCCATACACCAAGCCACGTGCTGAAGACGACTTCCTTTAAGAGAAAATCAATACTGTCTGGCTGAAGCGATGATCAAGGGCCGAGGATGCTGGAAGGACTGAAGCACTGAGGCTGTTTTTAGAGGCTGGGGTTGTTTCATCGTCATCTGAAAAAGCAGAGCCGCGATGATGTTTGAGGTGCGCACCTTTGACCCTGCGAGATGCTTTATGAACATGTGCCTGAAGCCATGCAGAAACGGCCCTTTACAAAATTCAGTAAATAAAACTCCAGAAGAAAGATGAAACACTGCTTCTACATAACCAGGGGAAGTGCTCCCTTGGTGGATACTTTTAAAACGGACTTCATCTGCAGGACAGAACAGTCCCGACCGAGCGCATTCATTGCGCTCTCCCGCATACCTCTGGTAGCTTTCCCATGCTTCCATTCCTTCTCTTGCAGGCCCACAACAAAATGGAAATAAGAGCATAACTCGCTGGATTTAGAGCAGTTGCTAATCGAAAGCATCTGGGAGAAGTATTAGTGCAGATTTACTGTATGCAGCCAGATTTCAAGTTTTTAACACCGTGTTTCACTTTCGCCGGTGTGTAACTTACTGTTCTAAATTACCGTTTCACCACTGAAACCTCCATTGCGGTCTGAGAGTAATGGTGTGTGAGTAACTCATGCAGCTGTCAATTGGGTTACAGCTCCTAGAAATGGCTGGTGGAGACAGAAGATGATATGGAGAAAATTCTTGAGGAAAAATTCTCTGGCACTAATCAAACTGCAGTGTTTTTCCAGCTCTGAGTGGCTCAAGGCACAACTAAAGATTACTGGAATGTACAAAAAAATGTTTTAGAAAAGATACTTCTTCTGTAAACAACATGTAAGTAATTATATACATATCAATATATAAATAGTTCTATGAATACTGAGATATAAATATAAATAATAGGGGAGAAAAAAATTTGGTGTTGCAGTCTCCACTGTAAAAGTCCACATGTAACATTCTTCATTCTTCCATCATGCAATATTGGAAATACATTCATATTTTCCAATGTTTAGAATAAAAATTATAAGAAACCATGGACTCTCAAACAATTCCAATGATTTAGGTTCACATTCTAACAGTGCCTTCCATTTGCCTCCTTCCTTTCAAGACCAGCAGCGTGTTTTTACAATCAATTGAGCACGCTTAAAAGATGAAATGCTGTCCTGTCATTTATGGAGGGAGATGGGTTTTGGTATATTTGGCAAGGTCATAAGCAATGCAGGAACACGGCATTAACTTCCTTATAATCTTAAAAATTATTCATGTCCCCACAATTATACATTTGGAGATGTAATTAATAGGTGTGGAACCAGAGGAAGGTCGCTGCAGTAATGGCACGCTGAGGATGCAGGGAATAGCTCTTCATCAGAGGAGAGCTGCCACGGAGATGATCACATATTCAAAACTCGGGAGATCAAATCTGTATTGTAAATGCTCTTTGGAAGATGTGACCATCTGAGGTTTGCTGAGAACTAGGATTTGCCTCCTGAGTCACGAGCTCCTGGCAGGAAACATGTGGGGATTTGACTTACAGAGGGGACTCCCCCCATTTGGCTCCAAAGATTTCTATACCAACCACTATGGAGGATGCAGAACCCACCCTGGGTCCCCTAAATACAGCCTGGAGGTACAGGCCCCACCTGCATGGAGCCTCGACCTCTCTTCCCTCTCTCTCTCTTCCCCCACCCTCTGCCCTTTGGACAGCCAGGTAGGTACCTCTTGAATTGACCAACATGCTAACAGCATCCACACAAACCTTGTCTACCATCACCCTCCGATACTTTCCACACATAACACACTGATAAGACAAGGGATATGAGTCCTAATGGGATGCTTTGCCCTCTAAGAAAAGTTTTCCCTTCTCAGCTTTTACTGGGGTTCACGTCTGTTCACAATTATTTTAGGTAAAGAGTTGATTGGGCAACGCTTTCTCAGGTTGATGAGCATTTAATCAGGTAAAAGTTTTCTCTAATGAGGAATCGTCGCATGATCACATTTAAGGGAGTACTTTTAAAACACGTTAGAAAGGAAGAGTTCTTGGTCTTCTTATGAGTGTTAGGCAGCTAGTGCTTGAAAATGTCTAGCTACCTCATTTATATTCCTTTAATGGAAAAATTATGAACAGTGTCAGCCACTGCTAATTATTTTTTTTTTTTGCTAATCAGGGTAAATCACTTCAAGTCCAGTAGGAAAATGATTAATGGAATGTAACCCTTTAAGACAGATGTATGGACCATTTCCCAAGTCCTGCATCCCTCTGAATGCAGCAGAAGGGAGGTGTGCCCCTGACATGGAATTACCTGGAGAGCAACACACCTATGTCCGTGCTGTGCAAATCAGCAATACAGAACCCCTAATTATTCACATGAAGTCAATGTAGCATAAAATAGTCCTTCTACAATTAAGAAATGCAGTCTCAGTTATCTCAAAACACAAGGAAAAATATTTTAGCCTTGTAATTAATTGTCCTGTTTATATTATTTCAGGAAGACACTTTCACAATATGCATTTTGGTCTTAGCATAGGATGTATTCACCTTATTTCACAAAGCACCCTTGAAAACAGGACTTGTGAATGCTTTCTTTAGAAAATAAGCTTAAGCTTCTTTTCAAGTATAGCGCAGGAATAAATCACCCTGTATTTATGAACTACATTTAATTCCTAAGCACCTCATTAAAGAGAGCTGAAGGGGAATAAAATGGCTCCTCTCCAAAACAAAGCAAAGGGCAGAGAAACTACATCACGGTAATTTAAGGAGGGAAGCAGGCTCTATCTCATGGAAAGCACGGGATGGTATCTGGGTTAGGGACGGCTGTGATTACTTGCCCTGAGCTGAAATTTAGCTGTGTTCTGGATGCGCACACTTTTAATCTGCACGAGGTGTTATTTATCTGGAGTATGCCAAGGCGTTAATTCAGCTTCCCTACTAATTCTTATATCTGCTACGTTAGCTCCTACAGCTGAAGGTCTCTTTCCTAATGTTTAACAGAATTTGCTTGCTTTAGCTGGTCAAAATATCAGCTGATGTTATCATTTTGTTATATTTATGCTATACCTAAATAAATACTGAGTGCAGCACACACAAGGACCACATTCACATTCTTGGTTGCAATCAGTTGTTGAACATTATACAAAATACAAATATATTTCTGTTTCTCTGGTCTTGGACTGTCCAGAGACCGTCACACTCCAGATTTCATCTGTGAAAACCTGGGAAATTCTGGGTATCTATTCTGCCACCCACAGCATTCGCCACACGTCCACCTACCGCATCTAGAAACCAAGCAGGTATTCGAGGTGTTTGCAGTGTGGTAGAGGGCAAGGCAGAAAACCCAGGGGATGTGTCTTTATTCACAATATCGGCTTCAACCTCCTACATGGTATCATGTGGAGAAGCAGCTACAGATCCACGCAGAAATCCTGTCCCCTGGGACCAGACAGGGCCGTTTCCCACCCCAACCACACTGCTCCCACCAGCATCTCCAAAAAACTGGCTTTAAGCAGCCTGAGGACTTCACTCTGCCCAAGAAACTTCAGTGTGAAAAATTCACCCCTGCTTAAACTGGGTTACTGACTAATACCTTATAATATTGGAAATGTGACCTAACAGATAAGGAGAGGAGAAATAACAGAGAGGGGAAAAAGAAGTCAATTCTAGCCCGATGCAAATCACTGGCAGTGAAAAAATGACGGCTCCGGTGCTGAGCAGAGGCGCTGAGCATAGGTACAGCACATGGCAACTGAATCCAGCCATTTTTAGATCATTAATAAGACAGCCAGGCTAAGGAGAAAGTGGAAACCAGCACTTCATACAGTAACTCACATTATTGTACCAGGGACCTTGTGGGAAAGACCTCCTATACTGTACTTTAAAAAAAGAAAAAGGTAAAAAATGCTTTAAAAGACTAAGCTCTCTTGAAATGTAGTGCATCTGTTTTCTTGTTAGAGCTATTTTATATAATTAAATCATAGGTCACCACGACTATCCCCACCCAAGCACATTTACTCCATAAAACTCCTTTACTACCCCTATAAGCTGGTGGTACTTGAACCCGTACTGCTATAAATCGCTGCTGATGGCTGGAAGATGAGGCGCAGAGGTTTACTGCTCCCTGCTTTCCTACAGATCACACCAAGCACCTTCAACAGCTGTAGAGACCCCTCCGACCCACGACCGGCGGCCTCAATCCATCCTGCCATGTAATGATGATTTTTGTCATTGACCCCGACCATGAAGAGCCCTTGGGGAGGGCTGGAGAAAGGCGTACCTGGAGCGTGCAGGGAGACCACGGGCCCAGCAGCCAGCTGTAGCAGGGCTTCACCGGGCAGCTGCGGTGCTGGGTGAGCTGCTCCGGGCAGGGCCTGCCCTCACCCGCTGCCCGCAGGACCACCGAGCGCCCACGCACCATCTGGCCTAGGCGAGGGGAGAAGACAGGACACGGTGAGGAACACCCCGAGGAGTAGGGAATGCAGACTGGGTCATTTATCATGACTCCCAGTTCATTTTCACCACTAAAATCTGTTAACAAAAGCAATTAATCGAGAAGACCATTTGGATAATATGGATGCAATGATTCAGTCTAAGCGATGCAGTCACTGATATTCTTACACGCAATTTTGTATGTTTTCCAAATATATTATTTGTTGATGCAACGCATTTAAATACTTGACTAAATCCTGATTATTAAATATGACAAGAACATAATTCCTGTGGCAGCATCATTTCCAGCGTTGCACATTCAATATGTTTCCAGAGATTTTTAACAAATGAAATTTTCCTTTTATGACCAATTATGTGCATCTAATTTGAAAACTGCAAACACTCTGGTGGCTATTACCGTCCATAACCACTTCTGCCATTTCCATTAAAATCCTATTTATTATTGGTGAAAACTTCTTCAGCCACTGAACAGAAAAAGCAATTATGTTACTACTTTTGAAATAATAAAACTGAATATATTCATTAAAGTTACGGCAATTCCATTTCCGCCTCCTTTGCCGTCCATTTACTTCGAGGAATGTTTTCACTCAAAACGTTTCAATTAGAATCCTGGCTCCAATTATAAAGAAAAGAGAGAATAAAAAAAAGCCCTTATGCAACAGGATGCAGAGAATTGTGCTGGGGATAAAATTTCTGCCTTGACTTCCAATAGGCGTGGATTTGAGAGGCATTTTAAAAAAAATAAAAGGTCTGGCTAATAAGGGCACGCACACACAACAAGACAGATGTGAGCTGTAATTGCCAACTCGCTGAGAAGGAAAGAGATTACGCCTTGGTGGAGCTCTCCCGTTTGTAACGCAGGCGTTCAGCTGCAATCGTGAGCGGAGGGGAGTCCGGGGGAGAGGCAAACCCCCCCTGCAAAGTGGGGAGGCTGCGATATGCAGCCAGATCCTTCTCCCAGCTATTTATGTGTGCACTTGTTAATTAGCGGTCCTGCAGCTGGGTTTGAGGTACATTGCTAATAACTGCCAAACTGCCTGTCTGCAGAGCAGCAGGCCCAAAAGCATTCTAGCAAATAAAAATTAATAGCAGACACACCTGACAAAGCTACTGATGGATACCTCAGCAAGCTCTCTTACCTTTACAGCGCTATTCCCATGCTCTGACCCATTGAATTCCATTTTAAACCCATTTAAACCAATTTTAGGACTTCTTCCTCTTGCAGTTCTAATCTGCACACGAGGAGTTTGTAACAGAAGGGCTGATAAAAGCTCTTATCCTCATGACGGTGTATTCAGCCACCACGGAATCAGACACATTAGGAGGTGTAAAAAAGTCCTACCAGCTGAGCGGAAAGGACAAGTGAGAAACCCCTGCGGTTCACTGGGAGTCAGAGGGCTGGCAAGCACAGCCAAATGAAATTTGGGAAAGGATGGGAAGCCCATGGCCTGTGGGGTTTTTGGGATGCCCTGGGGCAAGCAGCTCACCAGGGCCAAGGAGCTCCATGGCCCCACCAGGTATGAGCTCCCAAAACAGAAAAGGAGATCTCATAAGCTCAAAAACTCTGATTTCATCAGGAGGGACCTGGAAGCCTGAAGCATTCATCATGCTGTTTTAATTAAAGAAATAATTTCCTTTCGTGCACTCTGTTGAACATCTTTCTAGCAAAATGTAAATGGGAAGATCACTGAAAAGAAAACATGATTTTCCTTTTAAGAGGAATTAACAACCACTCTGTATTAATTAACATTTTATTTTCCTGCAGTTGGTAATCCAGACCTTTTAAACTCACTACAGGCACAACGGTCAGCTGGTTCTTGACTCATTTAGTCTATCGCTTTCCCTTTATACTGTGAATAAATCACTGATGAAAGAAATTTTGTTGAAATCCTTCTTTGCGCAATCACGCAGTGACTTTCTTAAAGCTTTGATTTTTTCCTCACTCCACAGACACTATCTAGGTGCTTGGTTACCACTCAAGTAGAAGAAAAACTCCTGGTCTTTACTTTTTCAATAGCTTAGCTTTTGCAGAAAACAACAACAGAATCTCACTGCATCTGAAATTAATTTGTTTCCAAGACAAACTCTGGAAGAATCGAAGCAATCCTAGATGTTTCGTTAATTCTCCAATGACTTTTTCTTGAATTTCCCAATGAATTGGCCACATCTGTTTCCTCCGCTCTGAAGTCTTTAATGATATAAAAATTAAGACAGAATGTGTGCTGAAAATTGAAAACAAGTATCCTCAATATCCTTCATATCCTCAAATTTGTCATTAGTTTTGAAAGGGGAAAAAAAAGATGAGTCTTGTTAATGCTGGTCACTTAAAACTGTATTTAGTAGCAGCAGCTAAATTTTCATCTCAGAAACGCAGGATCACATTCTCAAATCAGAAGATGATGATTTTTTACCCTCAAAAAATCTTGCCGTTCCTTTGCATTGTATCCCCACAAAGTGATGCTACAAGGCTGAAACCAAGATGATTAAAACTCCTGCTAGAGCTCATTCCAGTCAAAATTGCTGCCACGTCGGTCTCTGTTTGAAGAGCATGAGCAGAGCCCAAACGCAGCCCCATCAAGTGATGCAAGACCAGAGCAGGGATCAAGTCACTAAAATACAGCCTGAAGGTCAGGTTAGGTCCAGTTTCAAGCAACGGGACTGGTGATAAATGGGGCTTTTAATCTACTTCCAGTCCCACCAGCAGTTCACAGCTCTGGAAGTGGTGTTGGTGGCCCCTCTTCCATCAATGTCTCACAGCACCACTGAACCAGAGCTCAACGACTTTGAGTAGCAACCGAGAAAAAGTCACAAACATTTCTTCTTCAGGAGCCAAACCCACTGATGTTTTCCCAAACTGGTGAAGAATAAGTAAAAATGTAACCACCAGATTTTTCAGATGTCTGCACATCCCCGTCCACTTCATTTCTGTCCCATGGGTCAGTTCGGTGTTGGGGTGGATGTCTCTACAACCCATTACAGTCTCTTCTGGGGCTCTGAGGACACTGGGTAACTCAGGTAATTCCCATAATTTATCTGGTGAAGTCAGCTTTATAAGCAGCAAAGCACGGGTTTGGGTATTTTTATCCTATTTAGCACTCCCGTTAAGACAACTTAGGACAAATTATACGGGACTGGAAAATGTTTCTGTAGAAAAATTCAGCATCCTCATGTATTTGTTTCCCTTAACAAAGGAAATACAATGTGCTGGGGATTATCCGTACCAAACATCTTTGATTCAGGCCGTGGGAGCACAATCCATTAACGCAGCACTATACATCTTCTCATAGCAGTACGGCAACTGGTATGAGGAGCCCTCATCTATAACCCAACGTCAGCCTAAAGCCCTCACCAGCATCCTGAACAGATGCTGCCCACAACTACAGCTGCAACAGGCGAGTATCAGTTACACATCTCCGTAGGCAGGAAAGAGAGATCTACTTTACTCATCATCATTTATAAAAATCAATATATTCGCCTTTGGCTGCTATGTACCAGAAGCATATTAGCTGTCAGCGCCACACACGCACGCAGCAGCACCACTTCATGTTTAAATGCATTGTTCCATAAAATAAAACCTGGGCAAGAGAAAGGTACCATCCATTAAAACATATCACAGCAAGCCAAGTTACTGGAGGAGATGGACCGAACAGAAATGTTAGCAACAATGCTTGAGTTAAGAAACACATGAAAACGTAAAAGCAGCAACACTAAATTTTGATCTGAACGATGTTTACATTATGTTTCTCTTTGAAGCTGTTTATGGTACTTCAGCAGGCCCTTCACACTCTCCAAGAAAAGCCAGAAAAGCAGAATATAATTGTGAGCGGAGCCAGTAATGGTGCACGCAACTGATTTGCTGCAAATTATTTCTGAGAAGTGTGCGTCCAAGTCCTACACTTTAGCTTTATTAAATAGCGGGCAATTACTTATTTGGCAGAGGGAAGCTGAATCAGTGTTTACTACAGCCGATTCCCACAGCTCGTTTATTGTCATCCTTTGGTTTTCAGCGTCTAATTTGAGGTTTCATCCTGTTCTCACAAATGCTAATGAGAAATTCGCGATGATTTCAAAAGTATTGCAGTCTGTGAGCCTTCAGGTAGGAAACCCTCATTGTATTTATTTGTGAAATATCACCTGCAGATGAGTGTATAATTAGCGTCTTCTCTGATAATCCCATCAAGTAGCATTTATCACCAACTGGAACTTGGTGAAGAAGCTGAAACGATGGTGTTTCTGCTGCTGGAACCACTCAAAGGCCACCACTGCAGGACTGGTGCTCAGGTGCCCCCATCATGGATGTGTGATATCAGGGTAGCTCCTCGCTTGAGGGTTGCTGCTGCAAAAGTCAGATCAGGACTCCACACACTTGGAATAACTCGGATGCAAAGCAGTTTTGTTTCATTGATGGTCTTGCTTTGGGGTGAGATTCAGAAGACTCTTGGGTCCTCAGAAAGCTATTCGAATGATAGAGGAGGACTGAGCAAAACCCGGTTTCTTCATGATACAATTTTTAAGACAGCTTTCCCAGCTGCTCAGCTGCCATAGGTTCACAAAACAGTAACTGTACATGTCCCTGGCCTCAGCCAGCTCTCTAGGTAGCAGTACAAGGGAGTTATGGTCTTTGAGGACCAGAAGGTGACCCACAGACGGAGCCGAGCTTGGGCTCGACTGTGTGGGTCAAGCAGCCTTAGGGAGGTTGGGCACATCCAGCCAGGACACTCTTCCACTGCAGCAGGGCATGGGCATTTCCAGATCTCCTCTGAAGATCTCTCAGAAGCCCAGCTCTGATTTAGGACATGAAGTAACTGTTTGCTCCTTGCATACATTTGGAACCATCAGCTCTTTAACCCATCTTTAGGATTTGCGTAAGCATTTCAGGATCAGAAGCAGAATACAAGAAGTACCTTTACTCAAGTACATACATCCCTTTGCAAACCCTGCAATGTAAGAGCTCAGGACAAAAAATCTTCGGGCATTATATGATGAGCTGCTCCGCTGGCATGCGAAAAGCCACAAAGAAGTTACAACCTGTTTTTGCACACAGTTTTGTTTATTTTGAATAATAATTTAAGTCCATTCAGCAACATGAGCATTAACACTCCAAAACGGGTTTTGAAGAAAAAATAAAATTTGGAATTAACAGTATTCCTAGCGTGTTGTTGTTAAAACACTGTCTATGAATTATTCATTTCTGTTAAGACAGCACTACTTTACAAAAGGGCTAAAAGCTCAGCAAAGAAAGAACACCACTAATCTAATATTAAGCTTTTTCTGTAACATGCTTTGATCTCTGAAATCCATCTGAAGGCATCCCTTTATGGAAGTTAAGAGCTTTTTTCTTTTTGACCTTAAGCGAATTTGATTCAAATACACATTATGGCTCTCAAATCTTAAGGACCATTAGCTGTACGTCTAATGCACATCAGAAGCCTGGGAAATAATGTCATAAGCTTATTTTGAACAAAAACTTCAACACATTTCCTTATGTCAATACTCAAAAAGGTTTTTTAAACCATATACAGTTTGAAAAGGTCCTAATCCTGTCACTTATTGTATGCTGGTGAGCATTAGTGGCTATAGAAAACCTCGCTGAAGTTGCTGGAGTCCTACAAGTATTAAGGGACCTGTGGCTACAAGATGGAGACAAGGGCATATACTAAATGATGAAAAATAGTCTTTTATCTGTAATGGGATGTAATGATGTTATTAAAAATAACTTCATCAGAGTATCTGTATTTAGTTATTTATCTGTTTCTTAAGAATCCTGTATCTCCCCCCAGCTCTTTGCCAGCTCTGCGTATTCCCCCTCTCTCAGGGGTTAATGTTTCTTATGACTGACTTCTGAGAGGTTGAATTAGTTGATAAAATAATCCCCCAGGCATCTGTCCATGTGTTTCCTAAGTTGCATTTTTCACTGTAGGTACTGCTCTGTTCAAAAAAACTAACACGTCAGGACCTCTAGAGTTTCCAAAAACGACATCTGAAGGGCTCGGTGTGGCTTGGGGCAATGCCTGTGCTCTGTACCCCTGCTTGGGAACTTAGTGAGCCCACCTGGGGCTGGGGGTCCCCTCTGGGCTGCATTGCTGAAACATGGGATAGGGAAAAAAGGGCCAGAGGGATAGGGGGGGACTCACCGCCAGCGCCACACGTGTGGGAGCACTGCGACCAGGCTGACCACGCCGAGAGCCGGCAGTCCACCGCACAGCCCACCACACACCCGCTGCTCGTCTGCACCGGCTTCTCCAGGCGGAGCTGTGAGATGAGAAGGAAACACAGGCATCAGGCTCCCCAGGACCCCTGGCCATCAAGTCAGGAGCTCAAAAACTGCCAGCAACTCCAGTGGGATGCCAACATTGTTGCCTACAGGGAGTTTTACTGAGGGTGCAGCCAGTGAAAAGAGTTTCAGTGTTGAAGCATTTCACATCTATGAGTCCTTCATTGTGGGTCTTACTCTGCAAGGACAATCCCAAACTTCTAGGAGGGCACAACCTCCCTGGTGGCCAGCTCTGTTGGAGCCATGGTACAGGGTCTACAGCTGAGCCCTATGCATGCCACTCCAACCCCAAATTCTCCCATTTGAGCCGATGGGTGACACCACCCACTAACACCCCAGGGATGCTTTTGTTCCCCAAAGCACCCAACTGCTGCACTCCCAGTACAACCTCTCCACCATTTATAGATGATGCCCTGGTGCAGGTCAGAAGGCAGGGGCTCTCTAGAAACACAATGACCCCCGGTGGGTTCGTGGCCCCGTGCAGACGCTGTGCCGTGCTCACCCGCTGGCAGAGCTGCGTGCTGACGATGGCCCCGTCGCTGCGCTGGCAGCTGAGGAGGCGCCGTCGCTCCCCGTGCCCGCAGCTGGCGTTGGCCCCCAGCTGGCACCCACTCCAGCCTGCAACAAAGCAAAGGGCGCAGTGCTGCACATCATGGCCGTCACCTTTTGACACAACATTTTCATTTACCTTCCCCAAACGCGGCACCTCCCCGCATCAGGGCATCCCAAACCCAAAAACCACCCCCACAGAAGAGCTGCTCTTCACACCGAGCGAGCCGCGGAGGAGAAACTCCTTGCTTTGCGCTCAGATATCCCCTTACCGACAGCCGTGCGTCAGAGTGCACAGAACACTGTTAAACGCTGATAAAGCGTATCAGTTCAACCCAGTTGGCGCATTTACAAGACGGCATTGTCTGAAGTAAAATTTCGCTTTGATAAAGTGGCTGGGAAAGTTTCTGAAGGGTAACTCTGCTTTAACCTGTTTCTTGACTCAAGGCAAAGCTTTCCATTATTTATAACTAAGCTCTAATCCTTGTGAAATAAAAGCAGTATTTCGATGAGAACAAAATTCCTATCTTGCTTGTCTGAAATTATGATGGTCAGAATACAACTAAACCAAAATAAGCCTTAAAACCCCATTTAAAATAAACAAAAAAGCATAACACGGACAACACAAATTTCCATGCGCCACCAACAAATAGGAAGCATAAGAGAAGAAAACCTATTACTTTGTATCTTCCACCTCTGATAAACATGAACACATAAATGTTCTGCATTTCTGAATCGTGATGATTAAAAAGGCATCGTCCTGCTGCCTGTGTGTTTCTAGGGCTTTTATTTCAAACAGGCTGAGTTTATATTCAGATATGACACTTTCTCCTGCTTTGTTCCCCCTTCCCACCAGCCCCCAACCTCCCCTTAGATCTCCTCTGCTCTCTCTGCCATTCTCATTTATCCAAGCTGGTCAAAACAACAGATATTTTTCTTTTTTTTTGTTTGTTCACAACAGATCTAATTGCTTCTAAAGTCCTAAATAATACATTTTGCTCTGAATATCCTATGCCCAGCCATATAACCCCTATTGCCTTCGAACCAGACTTCTATTGCATATTATTGGCTTCACTGGAATCGCACAAATGGTGCTCTTTTAACTGGAATTTTGTCACTAATCCTGTTGATAACCCATCAAAAAGAAGAGCTCCCATTTAACCTGCTTTATTTCCAGTGTACCTGCAATGAGAATTTAAATACAAAAATTGTGCATTTGTTCACTAACGTGTAAAGACCTAGGCATGTAATTAACTTTATTGAAATCAGTGAAGCCTACACGTAACTCTTCTAATGCCAAGGCTTTAATCAGTAGCTAAAACCGCAACTGGACAAAGCCTTTAAGGAGTTGAATCGTTTATGCAAAGATATTTGGAAAAGCAGAACGTAAATTTAATATACACTGCAATTGGTGTAGCTTCCTGCAAAGGATATATTGGAAAGCTGTACCTACCTGTTAGGTTGTAGTGATACTGGAAGCAATTTTGGTTAAGAATACAGGGCTTCACCTGTGAGTCTTCAGGGCAGGGCTTTGTGTTGACAGAAGACCTCAGCACTTGTCGGGTTCGGGTTTGCATAATATTCGGATCACACACCTATATACAAAGCGATGGACAGCACAAGAGAGCCTCATAAATCATACAGACACCGACCTCCTGGGTTGTTACGTGCACATCCATGGCCATACCGAGCTACCATATAATCACGCTTGTTCTAAAGATACTTAAAAGCACATGAAGGAAAAGAAATGTGGTTCAAAGGTAAGAATACAATATTACTAGAAGTCATCTTTTGTCCACCCTGATCTGCCTGTTTTAGGCACTCCTATAATATTTATTCCCATAACTTTTTGTAAGGATCCTTTGGGATCATGCCATTTTGCTGTGCTCTACTTTCCATCTCTTTCCAAGACTTCCAGTGAAATGCCATTGCACTGAATAACAGGACAGGACTTCTGGCACAATTAATGCATTTTTAAGTAATAACTGATGTTACAGCAAAGCTTTCATTTCTAGGACGGACATTTGTAATTGCCTCTCAGTTATGATGCTGACAACAAGACAGGATGACTTTTCAAAGTATGTGATACAAACACAGATGTCTGACTGCCTGCAAACCAGGATTTCCTTATTTGTATTTTCATGGAATATGAACCAACTGACGCTGGTTTTCATTCATTTTTGTACATCACAAGCACAAAAATTGGGGTTTTTTTTTTAGCAGTCCTCCATCCTCACTCTTAACACTGTGACATGGGGCTGATTTCCTCTCTGTTTTGCTGCAGACACCCAGCTCTGCCTATGTATCTCTTAATTATTTTCCCTTGGTTTACTTCATCTGGGGCTATAGCTTAAGCACTGGGTGGGCCATGGGGAATGCGGTGCCCCCAGCCCCCGTCTCTTGCCAAGGGGAACTGTTTCAGGAAGGAGTCATGGTTCCAAAAATTAAACACTTGTGACACCGGGCACGGCTGATTGGTGGTGAAGAGCACTGAGGATTGCTGCTTTGTCTCGGTAAATGAAATCACAATAGAAGTCTAAATAAGCTTACTCTGATTACAGGAATATGTAATAGCCATTTGCACTGCAAGGCTGGGACAGAAAAGCAGCCCCAGGGGTAGGGGCTCTGACCCGCTGAAACTCAGTGGAGTTTTTCCATAATCCAGTACAGTGGGAACGGGCAAGTTGAAGCGGTCCCAGTACACCTAATGGAAATAAATCCCCATTAAAGGTATTCAGAGCCATTTACTGAACAGGATGATGATATTTAATTCCTAACAGTCTCTCATTAGGGTCAAAGATTGCTCAGGAACAGCAAAAAAAGCCCAAAAAACATAATGCATGTAGAAATAAATTTTCATAAATGCTTGGGAATTTAAAACCCTTTAATTACAAAAAATAACTAGCACTTTAAAACCTCAGGCTTATTATCATGCAACAAACTGCCTACAAACATTGAACCCTGCTCAGGTGAAAGTGTGGATAATTCCTGTATTGTGAATATTAAAGAGAAATGTCATGGCATTGCAGCATAAATCTAGATCTCCAACTGCTACAAACTGGATTAGTTACTCAGCAGATAATAACATAACTAAAGAGAAAAAATACCAGGACAAACAGGAATAATGTGTGGTCCAGTCTTAAAACACATCGTCAGGACCTATTTTCCTTATGCTCACACTATGTGAAGCAAACTCCACTATGTTCTTACTGCTAACACACGCCTTTTCAAATAATTTTAAATGGTAATCTTATTCAAATACCCTAAAATGCCCAATTGCTCTTAATTATCTGAAAATTATCCCTATGCTAAGTGTTTACCAATACCTTACTGCCTTTTCCACAGCTAATCTGACTGTTCATCCTCACAATTAACACTAATAACTTAAATGATTTGCCAATAAAACAAAACAAATTAAAAAAAATCAAAGAAGGTATCTCAGTAGCTACTCCTTACTTAATGTTTCTCTGCATTATGCTACCAAAGGAAAAAAAAAATCAATGAATGCTGTGAAAGAAGTGAAGTCTGCCAGCTCTGCAATACCTGCTTTTGCTCCCTTCAAAATAAGAACCTGCAGACAGAAAATATGCATCATTTGTAGATAAGTGACTCCTTTTAATAAAACACTATTTTTCCCCATCTAGAATCACCCCGTCGCGCTCGATTACAGGGCACTGACGCAGCTCAGCGCTGTCATGCAGCCACCCACGTTTCCTGGCGAGCAGGACCGTTTTCCCTCTCAGATGTCCTCCTGGCGGGTACCAGACCAGCCCTACAGGTCAAAATCTCTTTGGTGTTTGCCAGGATCCAAATAAAACATAATAAATATACTGCAGCTCTGAGGCAGGCGTTCCCGCTGCGCTGATGAGCCATGTTGTTCAGAAGCCAGTGCTGATGCGATAAGCTTTCCACTTTTACTAGTTTTGAATAATAAAAAAAAACCTCTGTAGGAAAAGTGTTCATTTAATCAAGCCGAGAACACGGGAAACATGTAAAAATTCAAAGTCGGCAAACTGTAACTAATATCCTGTAATATTATTTGTTGGATTTCTCTTTACGTCAATTGAGAAGTCAATTTAGTTTTATAATTGATTTTCTGGCCTTACTCTTTCAAGTTAACGATGTAAAAAATTGAGCCAAATATGTATGGAACTGAATAAGCGGCAGGAGGGAATGACTTGCAAAGAGAAAGATGAAAGCTGGGATTTTCAAAGGAGCAAGGCTGAGCTGAGGATCCAACTACCCTGGAATCCCAATGGGCTTGGGTGCACAACTCCTGCAGGACCCCTCCAAAATCCCAGGCTGGAAAAACTGAGTATTTATGATGTGGCAAAGGTTGAGCGATGGCTTGGCAGACTCAGAGTCATTAGGGGATGAGAATGGTGAAAGTTAAAGAAGAGGGGATGTTTCCAGTGGGGAGATGCTGAGGGTATTGACAAGCAATAACAGAGAGAAGCGTGCTAGCCCCACAGCAAGAGGAAAATGTCACCACTGTCACCACTGCCATCGCTACCAATGGCTTGTGTCTGGTCCTGGTTTTGGATCTTAAAAAGTACGGAGAGAAAAACCAATCACCATCAATGGCAAATCACATTTTTAGAAGGTAGGACAGACACAGCAGTCAGTAATACTATAGAAAAGACAACAAAGGAAATAAACATTACCTGAGTAACTAAAGACAATCTCACAGAACTATTTCATATTTGGGCAAGATTATGGAAGCGGTTGATTCTGAATAGTCTCACAAACGAAGAAAATTACAAAAACAACTTGACTATTCAAATACTCCTTCATACGAAATAGTGAAGGTACCATTCAGATATGGGGATCAAGATTTTATCTGCTCTACCCCACCAGAAATCCATTTCTTATCACAAGCATACATGCATCTCCAATTTTGGGGGTTTAGAATAAATAAACCCCACTGTGATCCAGCAATCCTTTACTGAGTATCTCCATTTACAACTCCTCTCTTCCCACTAAATGGATGCTACACTTTCAAAGACATTCTTTTACTTCCTACTTCCTACTTTTACTGTTCTATTAATAGCTACTACTTTCACTGATCATAGATAAATTTTTTAATTATTTTCACATTAAGCCAGCCATTACCTCCTGTAAGGCAACCGCAACTGGTTGTGCTCAGCATTAGCCAACACTTCCACAGTGGTAGCACAAGGAAGGAGGAAAAGGTGCAGCCAACAACACTGCCACGAGAAAGGCTGGTACATAAACAGAAGTGTTCAGCAGTGACAGTTTAAATTCAATGTGGATTTTTGGGATCATCTCTTTACGGTCATGCTACTTATTTTTATGTCTGTGGCTATAAATCCTGTAACTAGTTTCCATAGTTGGAGAATTTGGTATGTGTTAGGTTGACAGTTGGACTTGCTGATCTTAGAGGTCTCTTCCAACCTTAACAACTCTACGATTCTATGATGACAGGGGGGAGAATTGGGCATAAGAGCGAATCTCCCTACACAGAAATCGAAAGCCAAGGTGACAGACTTCGATTGCAATGATTTATTAAGATAGATTTAGGCAGTGTCAAAGCCAGGTGATGGTTGAACTGAGCGTCACGCAGAACCCGGTGCAGCTGCTATAACTTTTCAGAGCTCACTGATCAGTGCCAGGGTCCAGATTAAGCAACTCTTGCACAGACCTCACGTAGACGAAAGCAAAAAAGAAGGTGGGATGATGAACCTGGGTAATGACTGGCCATAAATAGTAAGAGAGGAAACACGTTCCACAAAACAGAGGTAGAAGGTGAGAGGCCTGGAGAACTCCATGTACCTTCAAGGTCAGGTGGGAACTCAGTTTGGCAGCTTTGTTTTACAGATTGTGGTGTTTGTTGGATTTAGCCCAGAGTCGTTCTTGATGACTGTAAGGAATGCCATATGTAATCCAGGTGTGTGCTTCCTTTGGTATTGGTGATAAGAAGGGAATTAATTTCTGGATGGAAATCACAAGGGGGGGCTAACTCAGGTCGCACATTAACAGCCTACAGCAATAGGACCTCATACCCAGACACAGGACATTCCTTTACAAGTACAAATATACTGTTTCAGCCTACTTTACTGTATGGATTTCCATTATCCTTTTCTATGTAGTATGAAAAAGTCAAGCAAGAGCCAGGGATCTATAGGCCAGATTATATAAACCACTACAGAAACAAAATATCCTGAGGCAACGAGAAGCACATAAAATGTTAAGGTAGGAATGAATCAGAGGTTTTTCCAAAGGACCATTTAGAAATTATAAAAGCCATCATCTTGATTCTATGGAGGAATTCTTGGCACTGTTAACTACTGCATTTTTTAATATTTCTTTTAGCCAATCACATTGTTCAACCATGACCACTTATCACTGTTTTAAGCTGACATAAAAAGTGAGGGACATAAATATACACTAAGGATGTACCCAGCCTTTGCCCCAGACAATAATGGAACAGACAAAGCACAGAAAGTTTGATCTGAAAGAGAAGGACATTAAATAAAATAAAATAAAACTGCAAGATTATGAATGCTAAGTTCCAGAGTAAGAGCTGTTAACATAATCACACATTAATATACACTATTAAACTTTCTTTGTGATG